TATAGCTCGAAGAACTGATGGCCGTTGGGGCAAAAAGTTCTGAAGTGACGACCACCATCCGGGAAACGTAATACAGGCAGGCCTCCACTAGGTGGACCGACGATATGGTGAAGGTCGCGGAAAGTACCTGGATGCGAGCAGCGTAGAACCAATCGTTATGGAAATTTGTGGGGAAGGCCTTTGTCCAACAGTGGACGGCATTTGGCTGAAACGGAGAATTTGTTCCCCTTCCCCACGCTTCCCCGTTCCTACATTCCCCACGCTGGACAGACGATTAGGTCCCAGCTAGTTATTTTAAACACAATATCTTCTTGCACATCCATTACATCATTCTTTCTCGCAAATAAAGGCTATTTATACTGGAGGTACACTCAGACGTCAAAATTTGCGTGGGCACCATAAAACAGAGCGAACAAAGGAAGTGCAAGGAAGGTATGAGATTCCGACTGTGCATTATGACTGCTCGCGAGAGAGTACAGTCAGCGTCGGAAACGTGGACTCAACGAAATGTCGTAGATACTTTTCTGACGCTGACTTAGGCGGTTACCACACTGCGCCGCGCTCCGTGATTTCATATAAAAAATCACGCGCGCGGACGCGTTGTCAGTGTGAAGTGCCGCGCGTGTTTTCCATAAAAAATGAGGTACTTGCATACAATTATTAAATCTGTCGGCGCAGTGTGATAACCGCCTTACTGTATAACAAATAATACTAAGACTGGGTTGCACCATCTTACTTTAGCTTTGACAAACGTCAAAAATCTGTCAAACTCCATACAAAAAACACCGGTTATCGTTAAAGTTACGGTCAAAGTTAGTTGGTGCATGCAACGCAACCTAAGAAAATTCTTTTTTTTTTCTTAAAATGTTCTGAATTTTCTTTAATTTTTTTTGCATTGTGTGCCCTCTTCGAGAATAATGACATAATCCCAAAACTTACGACACCAAGGCAATGACGCACGTTACCTGAAGCTCGGCTCTACTCCTAAAAGAAACATTACGAGTATCAATGTTTCAAACATTTGCAACCGATTTTAATTATAATTTATAATTCAAAATTGCAATACCTATTTGTTGGCATCTGCACAAGCGGTATGTGCCATGATTATCTGAATTATATAAAACTAGCTGACCCGGCGAACTTTGTTCCGCCTTAATGGCAATAAATAAGCAGACTTTTTTTTTAATTTCGAACGGGATAAAAAGTATCCTATGTCCTTCTCCTGGCTCTAAACTACCTCCCTGACAATTTTCAGCTAAATCGGTTCAGCCGTTCTTGAGTTATAAGTGGAGTAACTAACACGACTTTCTTTTATACAGGGTGTTAGGTAAATGGGTATATGAGCCGACACTAGCCCATGTTAACATAGGCATATAAATGGTATGGTGAAGTCAGAAATTTGATATCATGGTTTTAATTTTTTAATTTTCATACAAAATAAATTTTATAAAATCCGATTTGTATGAAAATTAAAATAATTAAAATGAAGATATCAATTTTCTGACTTCACCATACCATTTATATGACCATGTTAACATGGGCTAGTGTCGGCTCATATACCCATTTACCTAACACCCTGTATATATAGATAAGTACTAAAGTCTGTTTTGGACTGTACCTACCTACATCAGCAGGTGACACAAAAACGCATAAAACTTTTTATCTTCTAAGACTTCAAGCTACTTTTGCGACCGACTGTACTTCTAAGAAAGATGTTTATTAGAGTGTTATAGAAATAGTTCACGGTTTTTAACAAAAATGTGTGGGAAGAACTAAAACGTTACAACTTTATAATAAGTAAAAACTGTCCAAACAGCGAACACGAAAACGATATACCTATTCGTACATGCTCATTCTACGCTAATTTAATGCTTAGTTATTATTTTTTCTGGCGTTAAACTTCCCTCGATCTATATTTTAGGCAGTTCGACATTTTTAAGTTATTTAAAAAAATATGTTTTATTCCATTGGTAAAACCTAAAGTTACTTCATACTTACTTTTATAAAAAAGCACCTTTTTTATTTCCAGACTGAATTCCACCTAGTAAAGGCATAATTAATTTTACTTAACTTAATTTTAAGGACTATGTGTTTAACCACCATTCATAGCAGATTTTTTTCTTTTTCCAACAGGTTGATGTGTAAAATTAACATTTTATTTACTGAAAATTTTTCCTTTTCAGAAACGAGCGGGAGAATTAACAGTTTTATAAATGCAGACACCTCAGCCAAAGACCACAGGGAGCTGCGCTGCGCGCTATCGAGAGCGTGTTTCGACTTCTGTACCTCTAGTACGAAAAACTTTCGAGTTCGTTTCGTTGCGTATTCAAAGTGTCATCGAAAAATTTTGTATGAAAAATTAAACAGCGCCCCCTATATTATAGCCGCCCTAGGGGGCGCTGTTTAATTTTTCATACAAAATTTTTCGATGACACTTTGAATACGCAACGAAACGAACTCGAAAGTTTTTCGTACTAGAGGTACAGAAGTCGAAACACGCTCTCGATAGCGCGCAGCGCAGCTCCCTGTGGTCTTTGGCTGAGGTGTCTGCATTTATAAAACTGTTAATTCTCCCGCTCGTTTCTGAAAAGGAAAAATTTTCAGTAAATAAAATGTTAATTTTACACATCAACCTGTTGGAAAAAGAAAAAAATCTGCTATGAATGGTGGTTAAACACATAGTCCTTAAAATTAAGTTAAGTAAAATTAATTATGCCTTTACTAGGTGGAATTCAGTCTGGAAATAAAAAAGGTGCTTTTTTATAAAAGTAAGTATGAAGTAACTTTAGGTTTTACCAATGGAATAAAACATATTTTTTTAAATAACTTAAAAATGTCGAACTGCCTAAAATATAGATCGAGGGAAGTTTAACGCCAGAAAAAATAATAACTAAGCATTAAATTAGCGTAGAATGAGCATGTACGAATAGGTATATCGTTTTCGTGTTCGCTGTTTGGACAGTTTTTACTTATTATAAAGTTGTAACGTTTTAGTTCTTCCCACACATTTTTGTTAAAAACCGTGAACTATTTCTATAACACTCTAATAAACATCTTTCTTAGAAGTACAGTCGGTCGCAAAAGTAGCTTGAAGTCTTAGAAGATAAAAAGTTTTATGCGTTTTTGTGTCACCTGCTGATGTAGGTAGGTACAGTCCAAAACAGACTTTAGTACTTATCTATATATACAGGGTGTTAGGTAAATGGGTATATGAGCCGACACTAGCCCATGTTAACATAGGCATATAAATGGTATGGTGAAGTCAGAAATTTGATATCATGGTTTTAATTTTTTAATTTTCATACAAAATAAATTTTATAAAATCCGATTTGTATGAAAATTAAAATAATTAAAATGAAGATATCAATTTTCTGACTTCACCATACCATTTATATGACCATGTTAACATGGGCTAGTGTCGGCTCATATACCCATTTACCTAACACCCTGTATATATAGATAAGTACTAAAGTCTGTTTTGGACTGTACCTACCTACATCAGCAGGTGACACAAAAACGCATAAAACTTTTTATCTTCTAAGACTTCAAGCTACTTTTGCGACCGACTGTACTTCTAAGAAAGATGTTTATTAGAGTGTTATAGAAATAGTTCACGGTTTTTAACAAAAATGTGTGGGAAGAACTAAAACGTTACAACTTTATAATAAGTAAAAACTGTCCAAACAGCGAACACGAAAACGATATACCTATTCGTACATGCTCATTCTACGCTAATTTAATGCTTAGTTATTATTTTTTCTGGCGTTAAACTTCCCTCGATCTATATTTTAGGCAGTTCGACATTTTTAAGTTATTTAAAAAAATATGTTTTATTCCATTGGTAAAACCTAAAGTTACTTCATACTTACTTTTATAAAAAAGCACCTTTTTTATTTCCAGACTGAATTCCACCTAGTAAAGGCATAATTAATTTTACTTAACTTAATTTTAAGGACTATGTGTTTAACCACCATTCATAGCAGATTTTTTTCTTTTTCCAACAGGTTGATGTGTAAAATTAACATTTTATTTACTGAAAATTTTTCCTTTTCAGAAACGAGCGGGAGAATTAACAGTTTTATAAATGCAGACACCTCAGCCAAAGACCACAGGGAGCTGCGCTGCGCGCTATCGAGAGCGTGTTTCGACTTCTGTACCTCTAGTACGAAAAACTTTCGAGTTCGTTTCGTTGCGTATTCAAAGTGTCATCGAAAAATTTTGTATGAAAAATTAAACAGCGCCCCCTAGGGCGGCTATAATATAGGGGGCGCTGTTTAATTTTTCATACAAAATTTTTCGATGACACTTTGAATACGCAACGAAACGAACTCGAAAGTTTTTCATACTAGAGGTACTGGTAATAAAAAAATTACGTATTATAAAAACTTCTAAAACTTTCCATTATGGCACTGGAATTGAAAAATGAACATTATTCAGATAAAAAACTAAAAAAAATTCATTCGCCATGTAAAGGTTTTAGAATAGGAAACCTACCTAACCTACGAAATTAATGTAACATAGGTATTGTTTTTTTCATCCGTCACCTTAGTTTCATGTTCAGATCTGAAGTTATTAAAAAGGGTTCCTTTTCAGGACTATAGAACCATAAAAAAGAAGAGCTCACGCTAGTTTTTAACAAAATAAAACTTTTTAAGCATAGGTTACTAGGTATTTTAATTTTCATCGTCGTTTAATAAAAGTGAAAATTAAATTTAATTATTAGCATTAAGTAATATCTTACAAGCAGAAAAAAATACCGCATATTATTCATGAAAATAATATGAAAGCATTAACTATGACCTTTGCTTCCTGTAAGCTTAATGTCACTCAAAATGAACTTGTCCATGACAAATGGAGTCGTAATATTCCCGCGCTTTATTAACCCTAAAAAATTAATAATCATTTGGTAAAAATCCCATATTACGTTAACCCTAGCGCGGTTTCCACAGAGTATAAAAGGAAGGACGGGCCGCCCGCGAGAGTAGACACCTGTGTAGAATTGCGCGTGCTGGCTGGATAGAGGAACGCACATCGTGAGTTACTTTTTTCTTATTTTCGAAATTTGAAATTTTAAATTGTGTTTGGCTAGGATGTTCTACTGTTAAAATAGTTGAGTGAAAAAAGGTTTTCGGAATTTTTTTAAAGTTTAATTAATTTTGTGACGTAATTAAATATAAACATTAATTTGTTGAAGTAAATGATTTTATTAAGTATTTTATATGCAAATTTAAACACTTTAATTTATTAATAAATAGTTTCTGTATTACAATGTATAAGTCCAAAAATGTAGTTAAGCCCATTTTACGACTGGAAAAAGCTTAGTTGCATTGTATCTTAGATTAATCTTCTTGCGAACATGAAGATAGCAATGTGATAACTAACTCAAAATAACCAAAGCAATATTCACAAAATAATGTTAAATGAATATTTATTTATTTGCATTGAAAGCAACGCAGACTGCGTTTTAAATCATAAAAATAAAAACATCTCACGATTATTCACGGTGTATTCGCAAGCTTTTACTTAGGTAATATTAAAATAAATTCAGGATTTTCCTAAATTAAAAATTTCAATTCCAACATCGGTTAATTATGAGATAAATTATAATTAAACCCGCCGATATGCTAATGTTACCTAATTAAATTTACTTCCTATAAAGTTGCGCCTGTTTGAAAAGAAGTTCTGAAGTTCTTATGGTTTTTTTACTTTAAAAACTTCGTAACAAATGCATTTTACTAACCATCATCATTTTCATCTGAATGGTTTGAGATTGGATTTAAATTATCCAACTTTATACATTAATTTGTAACAAAATAAGACTAGTTAATATTTGGTCTTATAGTGATACTCATATAAGTAGAACCAAATTATTTAATAAAAAGTTATAGTATTTATTTTATTCATTAGAATATTACTTACAACCGAAATACTTTGTAAGTCTAAGAAGTGTTTTAAATAAAGTTCATTTATCGACACAAAGTTATAAGCTTGAAGGTATTGATACAAATAAGTTTGTGCTAAAGAAGAAACTGCTAGGAGTTGATACAAGGAAGTTTTTACTAAGATAAATAAGGAAACTTCATAACTTTTTATCCTAAATTTTATATTTAATTGACAAATTGAGCAGTTGAGCATAAAGATAAAATACTTGAAAATATAACGAATAAGTTTGAGCTAAAAAAAGGTACGATAACTTTTATCCTTAATTTTAAGACAAAAGCGAGTGCTTGCGTCAAAAGTTGTTTGATTGATTGGTTACTTGTTAATATCGATATGGGAACGAACTTTTAAGATACGATAACAAATATTAACTTTGGCCTAACATATGAAACATAAGCGAAGAATGACGGAGCTTTCAAAATAATAGCTCAATCAATTAAAATGGTGTTAAAACTTTTTAACAGTCACCCAGCCATTTTCTCTTTGTCGAGAAAAAAAGGCAACCACATTAATTATAATAATAATAAATATTATGAATAATAATAATAAATCTTTGGACAATTTCACACAGCGCCAGCTAGCCCCAAAGTAAGCAACTCAATGCTTGTGTTATGGGTGCTAGTTTAACGGATATACTACTTAAATACTTTTTTTTATTATTAAATACATGCATATTATACATATTTACACCCAGACCCGTCACAGAAATTAAAATTCATCATTTCAATTTCTGCCCGACCGGGAATCGAACCCGGGACCTCTCGGCATAGTAGTCCGTTCTGAACCACTACACCAAACGGCCGACTAATTATGATATTATGCAACTTAACTGATGAAATTGAAGTAAACGAACAAGTTTTAATTTACGAATTTGTAAACATACTTTATGTCAAAATACGTAAGTATTTAACTAGTGGATTTGATCCTTAGGCTGGGTTGCACCATCTTACTTTTAACAAACGTAAAAAATCTGTCAACTCCACACAAAGTACACCGGGTATCGTAATAGTTACGGTCATATTTAGGTGGTGCAACTCAGCTTTAGAACCATTCTTTGACAGTCAACTGTTAGCAAAAAAAGTTTTATTTATTTTTGACAATCGTCGTCGGTACTCCTTTGAAATACACGCCGTGGTACTGGCGCTCTATAGAAATTAAAAATATTTTTTTCCTAATTTGTGAAGTTCTTTTAAAACAAAAGAACTTCACCTTACCAATCCTTAAATGAATATTGCGTGACCTTCAATATTAAAATAGGGCAATATTTACTTGTGCAACATATCTCTATCCAAAATACATTTTGTACAAACCTTTAAATGGAACATCAATCCACCACCTAACCCTTTAAATATAATACGAAAATATTATTTTAGGACCTATACTCGTGTTCTTACACTAAAGGTCTACGACGAAATATACCAATTTTTTACAAGCATTTTTGGCAAAGAAATCATAGTTTTAATAATATGCAAATTGTGTAGTTAAAGTTAAAGTTTGTAACTAACGCCCGTATTCACAAACATCACTATGAGGTCTCACAGTGCGCGTGGACGCATAGGGTGACACACGAACCAGCACACAATTACTGCTTCACTCAAGTAAGCATCGTTTGTGAATTACGTGCGTTAAAATGTTACTCTTGTAATTCTGGCGTATCAAGTGATCGGTTTTGTATTACAACACCCAAACATGAATTTTATTACAATATATTTAAGCTGGCAATTATAATAAATATACCTTTATGAATGCCGTCCGTCTTTATGTAACTTATTTGACAAAGATCTCCTCCAACTGCCGCCATTTCACTCTAAACGTGTCTCTATATTTAAAACCAGGATGTATTAAATTGATATTATGTTTGATATTACTTTAAATAACGCGTCAATGTATGTAATAACTAACCTTAACAATTAAAAACTTGCGTAGGTATGTAAAATTGCTTAAAATCCCACAAGACTACCATCTCTACTTAGGGACCTTTTGAAGTACATAATCTACTTACATCCCTATGTTAAATTTACCTCTATTAAGTGATCCTATTGAAATATTTAGGCATTTTCCAAATATTCTGCCCAACTTGTAATACCGGCTTGTAATTTTCAAATTGAAATTATATTATAACAAACAAGTTAATAGTTCTAAAATAATACACTAAAATTGGTCATACCTTAAATAATATTTGTTTTCTTACTTTAGTAAGCAATTAGTAAGTGCTCATTCAAGTAATGGATTGGATGACCCATGTCAATATTATATTGTCGTAAGTACGACAAGACCAAATCTTATTTTAGACAGAAGTAAGATATTTTGTACTATTCGTTTATAAAAACATTAATACTTTTATTAAGCTAAAATAGTTAGGTATTGTATTTAGTTTTTTCTTGCATCATTATATTCCTAATTAGGAAAGATAATTTCACATAAAAAACTGGAGAATCATACGTTTTAGCTGTTGTAATTGGTGCCATAGCATTCGTTCAAAATAAATCTTAAATGTTATGTACAGTCACGGAATGAAAAGGTTCGTCAGTTTTCAAATTGATTCCTTCAACGAATCGCGAGCACATATTACCTTTTGAAACTATGTTACAGAATAATCTCGAGTAAGAGAATATAATCTTTAACTATTGCTTAGTAAAGTTCAAAATTATTCAGATCGAAGTTGTTTGACGATTTATCTTGTCAAGAAGATTATTATGATTGATAAACTAAAACCTTCTTGTTGGTTCAACCTGCCATTATTATGTCTATTAAATAAAAAAACTATTGTCAAATGGTCAATGTCATCATTGCATTGCACTGCCCCCCTAGACAAAACGCACTTTTTGATCGAATCGAAAATCGAATCCGTCAAAACTCCATACAAAAAGGGGCTTTTCGACCACTTTTCGACTGGTTTGCGATTATAATTTGCACTTTGTCTAGACCCACTGATGGGATAGAAAAATAAACAAGCAAAACCTTATTCGTCAGCAAACGTCATATTTATTTAAATGTTAGCAGCACTGTTTCTTGCACTGTTATGTTGGCAGGTTTGACTCTTTGGTGGAAGCGAAAACCGACACTAAGGTGACAACCTTTTCATTCCGCGACTGTACATGCCTTATAGAAAACTTACTACATACTACTAACTAGTCAATAAATAAAATTTCAACGTCACATAAAGAAAAAGAACTAAGTAGGCAATGAAAACGGATTTTTTAAACTACCTACGCATGCTTAAGTGTACTTCAAAATGTCCAAGTTAAAAGCTTATCACAATAAATACCAACTTCCCATGGAAGTTTCTTCGTTTGTGCAGTTTTAATCGGGTGCATCTTGACAGAAAAATGAATAAAAGATTATAATCGCTACAATGTTCTAAAGAGGTATGAGGTATGAGCGGGGGCGAGGAAAGAAAGTTTATCGGATAGTTAGTAGGAAAAACAAAATCAATTAAGTAACTTAGTGTCTGATCAGTTTATTTTAAAATGCTTAAAGAGACATAATTTAGTGGCTAAGTTTTTTTTAGAAAGAGTTCCTTCTTAACACTGACATAGATTGTTACTGGTCTCCAACATCAATGACAAAATCAATACAAATCGCTACTTATTTATTTAGACTACATACGACTACGTAGGTCCATTAGTTAGTATTTAAAAATATTACTAGCAGCCTGATATGTAGACCAGTACACAAACAACTAAAGAATATGCCATTATACAGTGGGAAGGTAAGAATTATGCAGGCCTAATACGCACGATAAAATCTTATTGATTCATTTTATCGATATTAGACGATAAGCTCGTGCATTTGTCGTCTAATCGATATAACCTATCCCGGCTGAACCCTTAGATTAACTTATCCCAAGCCTTGAAAGTGTAAACTACATAGTTCTTGAGAGCAAGAGCAAAAATGCACATAAAATGACAGGTGAAATCCGGATTTAGACAAGGATTGAATATGGGAAACGAGCGTTAATCTATTCCCGGCTGAATCCTTAGCGCTCCTGCACACGACGCCACCACTGCGCCGCCGCCGCGCCGTCGCCGCGCCCCTACACTGTTCATACGCGCCGAGTAAAACCGCCGCCGCGCCGCCACCGCGCCGTCAAAGCATAATTTCGCCAGCGGCGCGGCGTCGGCGCGGCAGCGGTCTTCACGCGGCGCGTATAAACAATGCAAAGGCGCGGCGGCGGCGTCATGTGCAGGAGCGCTTTCATCTTCCAACTTGCCCCAAGCCCAAGAGAAGCATTTATCCCCACAATGCGTCGGCATGTCGTGCGCTGCGACAGCACCCTGTGATGTGAATGGAGTTACTCGCAACCTGCGTGAACACAAAGGGAACGAACTAGTACTTGAGAGCAAGAGCAAAAATGCGCGGCTGAAAGTATGCGAGCTTTTAGCGTGACGGGTGATAGTTACGTGTTACTTAGTGTTCCTTAGTGTTCGGCTAGTTTAGGGTTTAATTCTGGGAAATATAATGTCCAAAATAACTTACATGAAGTAAAAACTTACACGGTGCCAATTTAAGACTCCGCTGCTCGAATGCTGCGTAAATGACATTTCTTAGAGGAAGCTGCCATTGGCTGAAGACTTAGGCTGAGTTGCACCAACAAACTTTGACCGTAACTTTAACAATAACCGGTGATTTTTTTATGGAGTTAGACAGATGTTTGACGTTTTTTACAGTCAAAGCAAGATTGCACCATCTTGCTTTGACTGTAAAAAACGTCAAAAATTAAATAAAAAATACGCAACACAATTATATTTCCAAAAGCCTGAAATGTATTTTTCCTTATTAAGATAGGTATTAAAATTGAATTAAGGTTATCATTGTGGGAGGCCTATGTTCAGCAGCGGACGTGGCTGAAATGATGATGATGAAAATTGAATTTGCATTCTTTGCTTAATCGTCTCAAGGAACTTTGTTATTACGTATTAATAGATCAGTTCTGGCAACTAAACTGCATTAATTAGTGATTTAATTGTCCAGATTACAGGACAGTCAATCAGCTTCGACCTTGATCTTCAATTAGACAGATTTAAAGCTCTGTCATTACGGACAGCGATTAAGGAAGTCTCTATACAGAAACAACATTCAACGTTAAGGTTCTATTTTATCTAAACTTTAGTAACAATAAAATAAATTAGGCCCAGTTTTTTGATTCATAGTTAAAATAACAAATTGTTAAATTTTATTACTAATGGTTAAATATTAACAAAATTTTAACTAATAGTTAAAAAATGTACTAAAAGTCAAGGTAACCATTGTTCGAAAAACATTTTTTTCTGATATTTAACCACTTGTCATTTGACATCTGTCAAATTTGACTATTGGTTATTTTAACTACGAATCAAAAAACCGGGCCTTAGTGATTAGAAATTCAATATTTTTTTAACTATTTGTCTGTTACCACCTTTTGATTACACATTAATTTTGCTTCAATGATACGCTTTTTTTTTAGTAAAGAGCTGTTAATAATAATATAATAATTATTCTTGATTTTCACTAATTTGAGTATTTTTGATGTTGATTAGTCTTTTAATTCAAGACACTTACAGGGCAAATGCATTATATTTAACATCATGTGTAAATGCAGTCAAATACCTGCTTTATGCTGTAAGGATGTCCTTGCATCAAATAAATATGTATTTTTTCTTTCTTTAAAAAAGAAAGAGTTTTACAAACATCCCACGGATCTTTTCCTCTGGTATAATTCCATGAGTCAGTCCCCATAATCTGGATTAAACCGGAAGTAGTTTACTTGACCAAGCAGTTCGCATTACAATAATATTATTGCAAAAGTTCGCCGCAGGGGAGTCGAGAAATACTGAAGTTTGTTCAGATTTGAACTAATTACCAAGACGCCACAACTGGCTAGCTATTTGTAGAGCTAGTTTCTAGTTGTGTCTGTGCCTATTAACATGGAAGACTATTTTTAACGACCTTGATGTGCCTTCAAGAATCATTTCTTTTCTGACAAGTCGTTTGGACTGGAAACCAATACAAAAACTGCTCTCTTACTAAAATGACTCCACTCTAAAACCGAGAAAATACATGTACAAAAATAGGTACAAAATGAGTGAAGTAGGTAATTAAAAACATTTTTGTAGAATAACCGCTATGGATCCGATAATATATTTGCAGAATCATCAAAACAATAATAAACAACATTAAAATTAAATGAAAAGCTGTTCCAAATCTTAAAAAATCATCAATTATATTTCACAAACTTAACATTTCCAACAATATTTACATTCGTGCAAATAAATAAATAATACCTGGGATACGTCTTATTAATTATTAATGCAAATGGAAATAATAAACATCGTGAGTTTGTAACGGATGTTATTTTGCATAAACAACCTAATCAAGATTCTGTTTCTATTATTACTATCTGCTATAGTTTATTTTAGTAACCTGTGAACATTGTATTAATTATAAAGCTAGTATAATTCCGAGTATAACTTGAGAATAATCTAATTATTACTCACTAGCTTTAGCTTAGGGCTTTGCCCGTGTGAAATTCAGTTTGTCAAAGAAAGGCCTATTTTCTTAATAGGTACTTATCTATCGCTGTTATTTATCCAATTACTTACTATAGAATCTATTATGTTATTCTGATGTATAATACAATAATACTAACAATATAATAATATGTACAATCATACTGAAAATTGTCTTGAAATCCCTTCAATAGTATTTGCGTGAAAGGGTACGGGACTATTCCCACCTCTCGTTCCCACCGCTGCAACTTCTGTGTACCCAGGATCTACAGCTTGACTGCCATAAAAACCCAACCAATGAAGGTCAAGTTTGTCCCGGGGGAAAGTTAAACTGTCATTGGACCCGCAATGAAATTAATCAGAAGAACATAGGAGGAGTTCGAAATTAAGGTGAAAGTGCGTGAAAGGGTAAATAACATCCACGCTCACGAAATTTCACTTTGAAATATTAGTAGGAAATCAGATTTTAAAGACAACGAACAGTTAGCTGCATATCAGACTATAGATTTTCATTGCACAATCAACTCTATTACCAACACTTAAGTTACCATAGTGTAGAGATTGACGTAACAACGTACTAGAATAAAGGTGACTGCCAAACGGAGTGGACGATAAGCAGCCATCAATCGTCATTTGTCAATTTGACCACCAACGCCGGATAATGCGGTCCCCAGTCTAGTGAAGTAAGACAGATTAGCTTTACGCGTCGTAAAATACAATAGATAGGCGTAAATGATATCCGCCAATAGGTTAAAAGAATATAATTTTTACTAAAAAAAACATATCAAAGGGTTTTAAACTCATCAAAACGTACCGATGTACGAATTGTGCTAACAGCTGATTTTCGTTCGTCGTCCAGTCGCGTTGCAGTTGAAAATATTTAGCGCACTAAGGGCGCAGCACCAACATCGGGTTACTGTTGCCTTATAAAAAGCAATTTATCAAGAAAATAATAAATAGATTGTAATTTTTTCAGGATCAAAACAGCAACATGGACAAGTCGTGGGTATCCAAGAGAAGTTCCGCAGCCACCACACTCCTGGCCCTGATGCTGATCGTCTGTCTGGTCGAGAGCGCTACAGGTAAGGCCTCGTTCACACTAAACTACTCTACTGAAAAAAAATCACACGGGAAACTAAGTGTAGGCGCACACTAGGCGACACGTGACAGTGACAGTTGGGCGACTAGACGCGATGAATGAGAGGCTGCTACGCCAAGTGTAGGCGCACACTAGGCGACACATGACAGCGACAGCTTGGTGCCAAGTGTGCGAAGCTTGGAACAAAAGTGTATGAAATTGTCGGCCGTAGACTGTCGTCGCGTTTAAGTCGCCAAGCTATCGCTGTGACGTTTTGCCTAGTGTACATCTACACTAAACCACTTTTCCCTACTAAAAACATTTTTTATAAAGAAACATAAGTTTGGGTTGGGAGAAACACATTTTTTGTTCCTTGAACACATCTGCTAGGATTACAAAGCAAGAAATCTTGTTTTGTTGATACAAACAACAGGGATAAGCCTCCAAGTCAACGAAAAAATATCTACCCCTTTAGAATAGGCACTTTTACCTGATTAAATTGTGTAAGGTGTGACCTGTCCTTTATTTTTAGCAAATTTTTGGCGAAAATGCTAATCATCATTTTTCATTTCCACAATATTAATGGGAGGGGTATTTAACTTGTTGATAGGTTTATACCTACCTACTCTGAAGTATGCTTGTATGGTATAACTCATAACAGCGACCAAATGACCTTGCGTGGGGTAAACAGACTTAACAAAGTGTTAAACGCCTTTTAATAGACACTATAAAAATTGCGATGGATACAATTTTCCTATCCTAATACTTCAACCACACCAACGCGTGCAGATCGCCATCGCTGGCGCGATCATAAGCGCGACCTGTCATTGGCCTAAAGGTTGGCCCAAACCAACGCGATCACACGCAATCAACCGGTGTGCAGCCATGGCGATCAATGCATTTAAGTCTGGTCGCCATCGCTGCACGCCGGCTGATCGCGTGTGATCGCGTTGGTTTGGCCGAACCTTAAGATCGCGCCGGCGATGGCGAACTGCACGCGTTGGAGTGGTTGAAACTTAAGTTTTACTTATTTCATTAAAACTTAAGAAACCTAAAATCCTATTTGTAACGATTCTGAACTCTGCAAGTCCTGTTTTCTATTCCTAAGTGGAGGAAACAAAAAAATTGCGTTAATTGTTCCCAGTTTAGTTGATTACTACACAACTACTTAACGCCCGTATTCACAAACATTACTATGAGGTCGCACAGGGTGACACACGAACCAATCACAGAGCTCTATTCAACGCTGTGCGCTCGATTTGCTGCTTCACTTAAGCTAGCATCGTTTGTGAATACGGGCATAAAACTCACTCTGCAAAACAAGAAAACGAAATAGTACTTAATATAATCAAGATTAACAATAAATAAAATCAAACATTTCAGCTACGGTTATCACGTTTGCCCAATTCTGTAACTGTCACAACTTTGGATCACGAGTCCATTGGTGACAATAGTTTGTAACTAGATTTTGTTTCGGTGACGTTTTTATTATGTCAACTTAGCTTTAGTTACGTGACGAAAATAACCAAATTTCCCCTAGGAGGTGTGCCACGTTTTTATAAAAGAGAAGGTACGAACGATAGTGCATCAAACCCAGTGTAGTTTGTCATTTATGCATGCATGCAATCATGTAACCTCACAAAGTCCGACACCATTAGTAAAACTACGAATCAAATCAAATCAATCATTATTCACCGCAAATAAGTAGTTACAAGATAGTTCTTGCTTGATATCTACAAATTGTTACTTGAGACCTATTTAGTCATAGACTATAGACATGCAAATACAAAAATTAGTACTTATCTACTAGAAAAAAAATTACACTACGACATTTATTTTAAAAAGGTACAGTCCACTGAAGTGTATGATTGACATTTTTTTATTTTTGACTAGTTAAAATAATACAATTTTTAATGTAATTTTAAAATAACGATTTACTAGTGAACTACTATTTCTTATTTGGTATCATTCGTTTCAATTTAAAGGTTCAAAAAACAACACTGATTAGTTGAACTTTAATTTGTTTTTAGACCAAGAATTTAATCCACTTGTAGTTAGATTCAAACTAGAGTGCTCTTTAAAATACTAAGTATCGTCAAATTAGCGAAGAATACTTAATTAGTAATTGCAACTTAAAACTATTAGTAACTTGTAACTTGTAAACCATGTCAAGTGGGAATTAATGAAAAAAGTTTTAAGCTGACTTAATCTACCTATATTTAATTTTATTAGTTGTTGCAATTCACGAAGGCGCGAGAGCTTTACATGAGTGGCTCGCTACTGTTAGTTGTTCAAGTTTTGACAGACATTACACTATCGTTATGTCCATGTACACGTACACACACAAGTAAAGCTCACTCGCCTCTGTAAGTTGCAGAAATTAAGCCTACAGTATTTTCAGGAACTAAAATTATAAAAAAATATAACTGCGGTTAATTTTCTTCATCTAATTTTGAAGATGTTCACAATAGATGGATACTTCAATTAGTAATTTAATTGATAGGCTTAATAAACATGAAGACAATACAATCATTGGGAATTGTTCACATTGAATTGTGAAGGGCCCTTGCAATTCACCAATAAATATAATTGGGGCCTTATTAAATAAGTACAAAGGTATACTATGAATTAATAACCTTTGCTCTGTTGGCTGAGGTACAATAAGCAATTGTGGAATAAAACCAGATTTTGTTCGGAACCACTTACGTTTCTGGTCACCTACAGGCCGGTATCAACACTAAAGTACTTTATATTGTGACGTAACAACTAAATTAAAGTAAGATAATAATATTATTACGTGGATACAGTCGGGTTCATAAATATACCTATTGGCAGTGCCAATGTCTCAAAATATTGTTAGCGTTTTAAGTTTTTAACGACCATATATTTCAATACACACTCAAACACCAATAAAATCAAATCAATCAAAAGCAAGAGAATTTATTTTTTGTTAATATTAACCACCATAACGATAATACCTTTACTTGTTTAATTTAACTCTATTAAATCTGAGTAGTTAGTATTTATATTCCAACAAGGAGACTGGCAATTATATTAGTATCAAGTTTAGTAAATCATTTGATAGACATGTTGATAAAAATAATTGGACGTACGAGTACATCGTGAAATAAGGCCCATTTTCATACCGATTCAATTTTGTTTTATGTCACATGAAATAAATTACCGAGTTTACACCTCGTACGCACGACAACATACTAACTAAAGATTGTAATATCTGTGTTGATGAAATATACTATTTTTCAATAAAACGACTAGTTTATGTGCTGTTGACTGCATTTTACAAGCTTGTCGGCTGTTCGGTATAGAGGTTTCGGAACGGACTACCATGCCGAGAGGTCCCGGGGTCGATTCCCGGCCGGGCAAAAATTGAAATGATGAATTTTAATTTCTGTGTCGGGTCTGGGTGTTACTATGTATAGTATGTATGTGAAGTAATTAGAACGCATTACCATTGTCTATGATATGGTTTAAAAAGAAATTTGTGTTTTCCTAATTGACATTATCTGTGTGTCACTTACCATTACGAGGAATAAACTGAAACGTATTTTGATCTCGCTTTTTATTAGAAATCCTTCATGGTAGCAGAGCGTACCGTTTACCGTGACTGTTAAAGGATTTCTAGAAAGGCGAAAAAAGTGTTAGGGCGCCGGCAAGTCACGGCATTTTACAATATAGGCCAGTAGAATTAAACACAAAAATTGATTAAATCGGAAATAATTCAAACAAAAGATTTACTTGCTTTAACGGCTTCATTGGTTGCCCAATAAGACTCTCCTAGGTTTTCGACTTCGACGGAGTTGTGCTTGAGTGGTGGGGGCCCCGGAAAGGGGCGCTTTTTCGGTTTTCCGGTTATACCGCGTAAAGGACTTACCCTATCGAAAAGTGGTCTTCCTGACGGTTGAAGGGCATTTAATCCTGCATTAAATAAGACCAAATTCATATGTTTTGAACAAACCGTTGTCGTGCAAATGTTCGGCAAAGTAGAAAATATGTGTATAATTAATTACCCTCTCCACGTCCAATGGCTCGTTACCCACAGGCTTCCAAGTCTTGAAAAGGAGCGCCTCAACCAGTGTAACCCTATCAAGGCTTACGAGCTGGATGCGCCTATCCTTGTTCGTCCCAGCCGTTCCTTAACTGCGGTTGCTGCACCTCTTCCTGGCACTCACCTGAACAACTCTGTGTTACCTACAGTGGCTGCTCCTCTTCTTTGTATCCTCCTGCACGACTACGTTGCCTAGCCGTATGCCTGGTCTAAGGTTCGACGCCAAAAATCAACAACAACAAGTTCATATTAAAACGCTGAAGAGTTTTTTGTTTGTTTGTTTGAACGCGCTAATCTCAAGAAGTACTAGTTTGATTGAAATAATTATTTTTGTGTTGAATAGCTCATAAATTGAAGAAGGCTATAGGATATATATAATCACTCTACGACTAATAGAGACAAAGCAGTAAAGAAAAATGTTGCAAGCACAGAAAATAGTATTTAAACTATTTTCACGCGTACGAAGTTGATTTTGTGGCGTCGAACCTTAGACCAAGCATATGGCTAAGCAATGCAATCGTACAGGAGGGTACAAGGAAGAGGGGCAGCCACAGTAGGTAACACAGAGTCGTTCAGGAGAGTGCCAGGAAGAGGTGCAGCAACCGCAGTTAAGGAACGGCTGGAACGAACAAGGATAAGCGAATCCAACTCGTGAGCCTAGACAGGGATACGCTGGTTAAGGCGACCCTTCACAAGGCTTGGGAGCATACGGGTGACGAGCTATTGGACGTGGAGAGGGTCATTAATTATACACATATTTTCTACTTTGCCGAACATTTGCACGAGAACGGTTTGTCCAAAAAATATGAATTTGGTCTTACTTAATGCAGGATTAAATGCCCTTTAACCGTCAGGAAGACTACTTTTCGATAGGGTAATTCCTTTACGCGATATAATCGGAAAACCGAAAAAGCGCCCCTTTCGGGGGCCCCCACCAC